TTTTATTCATCATTTTTACCAAGTAGACAAGATTCATAGACATCATAAGATTCACAATTAAATAATTCTAGACATCTATTTTTATATAGTTTGGATATGCGATTCTCGTTTATATGGCCAAGTCGATAATTCCACGAGATAAGTTTTGCTTAGATAATTTGTTTTGAGTCTTTTCACATTTATGTTATATATAGGTGTGTCTATGTTCAAAGCATAGAAATCATTGTTTATATCGGTATTTCCATATAAAACACTATTTTTTATAAAAGGAACAATCTTTATTCTTAAATAAAAATGAAAAACTATCTTGGTCCAAACAAGAAATGAAAATGATATTCCTAGTTGTACTAGGAATATAATAATAGTTTCTAAGTGTAAGCACAAGTCCATATGGTAGTGCTAACTCATAAGTGCCTACTACTAATGGTACAACTATTGAACCATAACCCATACGTAGATTAACCTCACTTGAAGTGATTTTTCTTACTTTTTTTATTCTTTTCAAATTTTTTCAAATGTGTGCACCACATCTAGTATCAAATGCTCATGATGTGGGACTAGAGGTAGAAAATTTTTCTTCAATAACATAAATACTTGAGGTGCTTTCAAAACTCTTCTTTTCTATACCTTCATGTTTTTCCTCATCTTCTATCATATAGAGCATTTTTCCATATTGGAAGACATTCCTCTTATTCATTTTTTATTTAAGGAAGTTAGTGCCATATAATGAATTACTCCTATTAATCATTGATCACATTAACATATTGCTAGTCATACTACGTAACAACCTTAATAGGATAGAAAAGCATACGATTTAGTTAATTAAATTACATAAATAAAAAAAAGCATAAATTAGAAAAGTAAAATCTATATTTGCTATTACTATTTTTTTCAAGTTCTATAACCTTCAATATAGGACTCAGAAGACTTTTCACTTTTTGTTTCTTAGTGGGCTAGGATTCCATCCTCTAACATGCATTAACCTTAAGTTATTTAAACCGAGTCATCCATGAATAATTAGGTAGGTAACTCCTTACTAATTGCATCTAATGCAATTCCTAGTCTTATTGGCATGACAACTCATTATATCACATCTTATGTGAATACTAATCTTTGTCTATAAGTTTATTAGACCTTGAGTTATCTCAACAAAGCCAATAACTCATTTTAAGTTAGACCCAACGTTCGAGAACATCACATAGTTCATGATTTATTTTTCTTGAGCAAGAAGTGACATTAAGCTATCTCGGTAAGCCCACAATGACCAAGAGAGTTTTCTCCTCATAACGTAGAAAGGCAATTAACTTAATATTTAATTTAAAGGTTATTAATTTGGTAGGTCTCATCCTAGCATGCATACTAATAATCACATTAGTCCTAACATGTATACTAACATTAATCGCATATTATAAATACATACATCTCATGCATGATATAAGGATTGATCAATAGTAATGGATCTCTAATATTGACACCCTTAAGCCACAAAAGACTAGTGGGTCAAGTATCTAAGTAAAAAATTATTATAAATTCTTTGAGATTTGCTTTCACTTATTGGCTTCTTCTTTTTGAATCTATTCTAATTTCAATATTCTACTTTTATATTTGTTTAAATAAGAAACCTTGAGTTACATTCAAGGAAAATAAGATTATAAAAGAAATACAATAGATTAATATAAAAGGTAGGATATGCGAGTCCTATTTATCCAAAAAAAATTAAAAAATTCATTCTCGTAAACTAGATCTACTCATTTATATTATTCACCCATGCTTTAATCGCATTGATATATGGCATACTAATGAAACACATTTCATTCAAATTATAATTATAAATCTATGTTTTTTTCATTTTATAAATTTTATCAAAATTTCTATAAATTTTAATTTTAAGGCTTTTTCGAGTCTTAGGCTCACTTTAGGCTCATAGGCTTTTGGGCCTCGAGGGCCCATCGGCTTTAATACTTATGCCTTCAGCTTGGTGAGCTTGGGTGCACTTGGCCTTGCGTTGGCTTCGAGCTTGGTGTTTTTGTACTCGCCTAGCCTACCTATGGCTTGTGGCCTCGCACGCGAACGCCCGGCCTTACGACCTCACGAGCACTTGGCCTTTTGGCCTCACTTATTCTTGGCATATGGCTCGCATATGAATGGCTATCCCTACAGCCTTGTATGTGCTCCTAGCCCTACAGCCTCACATGTGCGCTTGGCATGCTACATTCTTTGGCCATGCATGCACTTAACGTGCGCCTTATCTATTCTAGACAAGTCATGGCCTACTTATAGCCTTGGCATGTGCCCAATGCACACCTGCCTTATTGTCTATAGTGTGTGACAAGCCTACCTAACAAGCTTAGCTCATCATGCACTTTGTGCATGACTAGCTTTGGTCGAAGGTCTTGCGTACATGAAGCACGCCAGCCACTATCGTGCGCCTAGCATGTGATGCCCGGTGGGGCTTTTGGCCTATTGTATGACCGGCCTAGCTTGGTGTATGAATATCTAGCTAGTAGGCTTGGTCTATTGCATGCCTAAGGCACAACTAGCTTAGCCTACTATAGGCCTAGCGCACGAGCAATTAGCCTAGTTCATGCATGTAAGTGCCAACGTCCAATGTCAACCTCGCGCACCCCTACTTAATTTAAACCCAAAATTTCAATTTTAAATATATATAAAATACCAAAAACACAACATTTCTAATCGACAATAGCTAATTCATGTAGTTAATCATAATTAACAAAAAATACTAACAAAAATTCAACGAATGCTCTTATACCAATGAAATGATCATACATCCTATAAAGGTACAAAATAAAATAAAAATTTTCTATATCTAAAGAGCCCAAGATTATGTCATTGAATCAACTAACCATATATTCATGAATTAAAATGATAAATAAAAAATTACCTCTTGTAGCACGATTTAAACCTTTGTAGAAAGGAGATGTCCAAGTGTCTAGTCTCTATCGATAATCCACGTAGTCCAAGCATCCCACTAGAAGCACTTAAAATTAATAGAGTATTAGCTTCATATTTTCTGACTTGTTTAGTGTTTATGCTTTAGAAATCTAATCAAGATAAATTTACGACAATCCAAAAGGAGAGAGGGAAGATGGTGTATTCTACGGTTTTTAGGAGAAAACTATTTTTCCTTAGTTTTACCCAATGTCATATGCCCCGGCCCTTTTTTTTCGTGTCATTTTTTTCCTCTAAAAAACTCCATCTTTCAATTTTATTAAATAATATATCATATTTTAATCAGGTGTTATTTATAGTTTTTTGTTATTAAAATTAACAATATACGACTATTAATTAAAAAAATAAAAATTCATTCATTTAGCGACAAATTTAGTGATGGAATTACAAAGAAATTTAGCAATGGATACACATATGGTCACTAAATAGCAATGAATTTAGTGATAGAATTATGAATATTTTTGTTATTATTATTTAACAAGTCATTCTATTGCAATTTAGTGATGAATATAAGTGGAAATGGAAACAAAATGACGATAGATATGAGACTAGATAGACAATTGTTTTAAATCGATTTAGTAATGGAAATTCAACCAAATGACAACAAAAAAATTTTGATTGCTAAGGAAATAGCGACCACTATATTAGCAAATGAATTAAAATTGTTTCTAATCTATCGTTGAGGTTATATAAAGACATATTTTTGGCATATAACAATGAGATAATTTGTCTCTATATGTTGAATTTTTTTATAGGGCATCATCATCATACTATATAATCATCAATTACACTTAACTTAAAATCCAAGAAACTCTAGGTCTTACATGAACATCCTATTACACATATGCAATCAATAATTAAACATATACCCATTATCATCACAACATACAATTAACCACTTAACACTTATCATTTACCAATTGAACGTAAAATTAAAACATCATAAACACATTTCACAAACCATCATAAATCATTAATTAAACAAATAGAAACCTAGGTCTTATGGTGAGTTGAAGTTACACTTATCTTAAGGTTTAATTAAAAAATTCACCTTGAAAATCCTTAATATTCCTTCTTTCTCTTTGCTCTAACTCTCGACCAAATCTATCCAAAATTTTCCTCTTTTTGGCTAACCTTCTCTTGGCCAAACTCTCCTCTCTTTTAGTCAAGTTGGTCTACTCTTTGTCAATTTCAATTCTTTCTTACTTTCTCTCTTGTTGATCTAGGTTTCTCTCATGTTTTAAGCCTATCAAATGGATGGAAGTAACTAATAAAATCAAACAAGTCATTCCCCTTCTTTTGTTCTCTTTTGGCCAAAATTTTAAGGGCATAAGGGTACTAGGGAGACACGTATCCTAAATTGGGAGAATAGCACTTAGATATTTTTAACTACGTACACATATTGTGTGGACACCATGTTAGGAGATTATTTTCTGAACTAACACATGTTTAGGACACTAATTAGGTTTTTAATCCTTGGTTACACATGTATGAAATATGTAATTAAACTATATTTCTAGGTCCCTCACTTTGTCAATTAATTCATTTAGGTTCTAAATCTTTTAATTATCATATTCGGGTTCCCTAGTCACTTATGCACATAACACTTAGCAATATGAATTTTCAATCCAAACAATTATTAATATAACACATAACATAGCATGCAAATTCTTAATAAAAATAAACAAATATAAATTAATAGGAATAAATTTAGATATTAGAATTGATTTGGATTAATCTTGTCATTTCATGTGGTTGTGGACCTTATTTATTGAGGTTAACTTGATTATAAGCTTCATAGTAGTTTTGGGCAACCTTAGTTTGCATAGCTAGGATTTTGACTTTGTTGCGTAATCTAGGATTTATGTTTGTTTGTGGGTATTTCTAGTTTGAGATTACTTGTAAATTTATTTGCCCTTGAATACTCGACTTTGTGTTTCTTTAGGCTTGAATATTATTGAATATTTGCTTGCTTAATGTTGAGTTCAACACATATTGTGAAAATGTCTCAAAGAAAACAAATAAAACTAATGTCTAAGGTAGATTGGCAATGTAAGATGATGCATGTGCTACAAAGGAAAGAATTGGAAAGGAGAGAAAGAATAAAGAAGATACGATGAATTGATAAGCAATTTACATAGCTCAAGCATCAAATAGAATCTTACTAACTATGATTTTAAAGATAGAAAATTTGAAGTAAAGGCTAAAAAGAGATGATGGTGATGTTGAAATTGTTGGCTATCCTTGTTTATTTGAGGATTGTATTTAACCATCGAGGTATGATAAAGATCTATGTGAGTTTGGCATACGAGAAGAGTTTGAATTTCTTGTAAATTTAGACCAAATTTCAATCTACAATGAGGTTGATGATGTTGATCCTAAAGATACCGAGAGTAAGGCTCTAGATATCAACCTTGACGATGTCAAAAGTAAGAGTGATGTTGGTAGAGGAGTTAGTGAGGCTAGTAAAGAAGAGGTTAATGATGTTACCTTTGGTGGAGTCGAAGGTGATGATCAAAATGATGATGAAGCCGACATTAACAGGTATATTATTTCAAATTATAATTAGTTAGGGTTTATTTATTGAAAATAATTTTAAAGTCTAAAATGATGTAAAAGTAAGTTTATTAAAGAGTCAATAGTTTCTCGTAGAGTCATATAAATGTAATGTATTAATGATGTGAGTCTCTAGAGATATCTTAAACAACTATATATGTTTAGTAAGAGTTGTAATTCAAATCTAAGTCATATGGCTTCCTATCTTATGAGAGTAATATAGTATCAATATATGAGAATCACCATCCTTCCCTCTCCCCTTATAATTTTTAACATGGTATCAAAGCCAAATTTGCTCGATGAGCCATTTATAAAGCATTTAATGGTGTCTAACATGTGTGTAAAAAGGAGGAAATCCCAAAAGTAAATGGGTAGTAGACCTAAGAGTGAGGGTAGTGTCATAGTAGACCTAATGAGAGTGTAGATACAAAATGACATATAAAGAAGAAATGAGATGTAAGATGAAGCGGATCCAAAAGAGAATTAGGACCTCGTTGTTAGTGTAAGTGCTCAAGATCCAACCATGTTTGCATAGGTTTAAGTTATTGTATTATTACATTATTTATATTATTTATAATAAAAGAAGTCTTTCTATTAATTCTTTTCATTTACATTTATTGATTGAATAGAATTAGATAGAAGTCCATATAATATGTATTTGCATTAATGATTAATCAAAAGATGTGAGACAAATACTAATATATATAAATGATATCATTAAATGTCCTAAGTTGTAACATTATCAAGAATGGACATTAACTATATGCGGTGAGACTTGTGAGTGCGATGCTCATGCTATACAATAGTAGTAGGAGATCTCACACCTATTGGCATGATGATGCCAATCAAGCACATAAGTGATTTATGTTAGAGAGCATATCACTATACTTGACTTGCCATGAGAACCCATTTGGTTTATTTTATGAGAATCTCATATGAGATGGGTATAACTTATCTTTAGACTTGAAGTCATCATTGTTATCTCATTAGAGGATTTATATACTTTGATGCTCAATTTGATGGACCTAGTAAAGGATTGCATATATGCAATTCATTGGGTGCAATAGGAATCTAATAGGGGTAGGTGGATGATCAAAATAGGATATGTCATTCCTTATTTGCTAAAGGAGTTATCACATTGTACTTCGATAAATGTCCGTTGATAAAATCTATAGACATAGTAGGAGTACACCAATAGAGCATAATTGGTTTACTCCTGGAGCTAAAATATTTAGGAATTGAAAAAAACTTGTGTGATCATTATCAAACAAGACTTATAACTAAGTTCGAGTTCACACTCGTGATAAGTTGAAATGAAGACCGAATTGTTTGGTAACCATGCTCGTGAAAGGTAATAACGGGTTAATTAATCCTTTTAGAGAATCGGGTAGTCATGATGTCTTGCTAGAGGCCAATCTTGACTTATGTATCAAGAAATAAAGAGGTGTCTTTTGTTCTTGATATATTGCCAATATATCTAAGAGCCTATTAAGTCACATGTATAAGTTTAAACATTCATATGATTAAAGAGAAGCAAAGATATTAGAAAAAATTTTCAATTTTGAAAGTTCCTATTTTGGAAAGGGTTTTCAAAAATGAAAGGTTTCCTAAAATGAAAAGTTTCCTAAAATGGAAAGTTTCCTACTTTAGAAATCAATTTCCTAATTTAGAAGTAAATAACCTTAAATGGAACTCGGGTTCCCTAATTTAGGTTAAAAGGTATTTTGTGAAATTATTTCCTAATGTGGGCCACCTAAAATTATCTAATTTTATTTATTTAGATAGTCCAAATTAATTAATTAAACTAAAATGGTTTTAGGCTAATAGGTTTAATTAAAAGCCTAAATATATTTTGGTGGGAGGATAAACATGCACCTTATTGGATAAGGATGAATTTTTTAAAGATAAAGATCAACAACTCATATATTAAATAACTCCTAATCCTCGAAGGATTAGGAAGCAATAACCAAGAGCCCAATAAGGACTAGTTGTGTTCCTCCCTATCCTTAGAGGACAAGGAAACTCTCCCCCAATAAATAGAAGGAGAGGTGTGGCAAAAGTTAAGAAATTAAGAGAGAGAAATTTGGTAAAATAAAAAAAGGAACTAGGGCACATGGCCAAGAAGAAAAAAAGGAAAAAAATAGGTTTCTCCTAAAAACCCCTATCACATCACCTTCTTTCCCTCTCTCTTGGTTCGTCACAAAATTATCTAGATTAAATTACTATAGGAAACACTAAAATAATTAGAAAAGGTGGAGCTAGCACCCTATGAATTTTGAGTGCTTCTTTGTGGTTGCTTGGATTGCATGGACAAGCAATAGAGGTCGAACGCTTAGATGGCTCCTTTCTTTGCTAATGAATTTAGATCTATAGTACAACATGTAAATTCTCTATTCATCACTTTAATTCATGAATATATGGCTAGTTTATTCAATGGGCATGATTTTGATCGCTTTATAAGATGTATGATCTAAATGTTTTATTTTTGGTATTTTATTTTATTCTCGTACCTTTATAAGATGTTGGTCAACTATTTTATTCCGTACCTTTATAATATGTATGATCTAAATGTTTTAATTATAATTAACCGCATGAATTAGCTATGTCTAATTGTAAATGTTTTATTTTTGGTATTTTACATTATTTTAAACCTAAAATTTGGCTAAAAAATCAATGAGGGCACACGAGGTCAATGTTAGATGTTGGCACTTACGTGCATAAAAGCCTTAGGATGGTTGCAAAATGGGGGCATGGTAGGCCAAGCCTACCGGCCAAGAAGTTGTGTGCTAGGCGCACGACAGGCAGGTGTCTACGTGCGAGGCAGCGGGCCAAGCTCTCGTGCGCCAATAGTTGCATGCCAAGTCATACACGAGGTGTATAGGTCCGATGTTCATGCACTAGACTCTACGTGCCAAGCCGTGCATCGGACATGCAAGCTTAGGTGTTATAGGTTAGGCACGAGCGCTAGGCCGCACGTTAGGTGTACGTATGAGACCACTAGCCAAACACTCATAGACTAGGTTGTTGGTCATGGGTAGGCACGTATGAGTACGCCAAGCCAAAGGCTTGGACATCGAAGCTCTTGGGCCTTCGAAGTGTAAAAGCCTATAGGCCTAAAGTGGGTCTAAGGCCCAAAAGTTTTAAAATTGAAATTTAAAAAAAAATCATAAATTTATAAAATGACCAAATCATAAACTTATAAATTGAGTTTTGAATGAAATGTATTTTATTTGTAGGTCATATATCAATGTGATTAGAGCATGAGGGAATGGTATAAATGAGTCAACCTAGTTTTATGAATGAATGTTTGTAATTTTTGGATAAATAGGACATGCATGTCCCGCCTTCTTTATTACTCTATTGTATTTCTCTTCATCTTACCGCCCTCAAACGTAACTCGAGGTTTCTTATTCAAATAAATGTATAAGTAGTAGATAGAAATTATAATAGATGCATGGAGAAGATGCCAAAAAACGAAGACATTCCCGAAGACTTTGTAATAATTTTTCACTTAAGTATTTGACCCACTAGTCTCCTTATGGCTCGAGGGGTTAGTAATAGAGATTCATTACAATTCATCGATCCTTGTGTCATGTATGAGATGTATGTATATTATTCGACCGGTGTTACTATACATGTTAGGAATAATATGATTATTGATTAGTATGCACGCTAAGATGAGACCAACTAAATTAAGCCCTTTAAATAAAATATTAAGTTAATTGCCTTTCAATGTTATAAGGATGGAACTCTCTTGGTCATTATTGGCTTGTTAAGATAACTAAAGGTCACTTCATGCTTGAGCGAAACACATCATAGGCCATACGATGTCCCCGAAGGTCCAACCATGTTTGAATGGGTTTGAGTTATTATATTATTGTATTATTTATAATAAAATAAGTATTTCTATTAATTATTTTCATTTTCATTTATTGATTGAATAAAATTAGATAGAAATTCATATGATATGTATTTGCATTAACTATTTATTGAAAGATGTGAGATAAATATTAATGCACAAAAATGATACCATTAAATGTTTTAAGTCATAACTTTGTCAAAAATAGATATTGACTATATGTGGTTAGATTTATGAGTGTTATGCTCATGCTATATGATAGTAGTAGGAGATTACACACCTATTGGCATGATAATGCGAAAGCAAGCACTTAGGTGATTTATGCTAGAGAACATATCATTAGGCTTGATTCGCCATGAGAACCCATTTGGTTTAGCCTTAAGAATCTCATACGAGATGGATGCAATAAGTTCTTAGACTTGAAGTCATCACAATTATTTCACTAGAGGATCGAGGCACTTTGACACTTGTTTTGATAAACATAGTAAAGGATTACAAGTGGATGATTCGTTGGGTGCACTAGGGATTTAATGAAGGTAGATGGATGATTAACATAGGACATATCATTGCTTGTATGCTAAAGGAGTCATCATATTACAATTCGATGAATGTCCGCTCAAGAAATCTATAGCTGAGTAGGAGTATACTAATAAAGCATAATTAGTTTACTTCGGGAGCTATGACAATTGGGAATTGAAGAGAACTTGTATGATCATAATCGAATATGACTTATAATCAAGTTTGAGATCACACTCGTGATAAGTTGACATGAGAATTGAATTATACGATAACTATGCTTATGAATGGTAATAACGAATTAATTAATCCTTCTAGAGAATTAGGTAGTTATGATGTCTTGCTAAAGGCCAATCTTGACTCATGTATCAAGAGATAAAAGAGGTTTCTTTTATTCTTGATATATTGCCAACATATCTAGGAGCCTATTGAATCACACGCATAAGTTTAAACATTCATATAATTAAAGAGAAGTAAAGACATTGAAAAAAATTTCAATTTTGAAAGTTTCCTATTTTGTAAAGGGTTTTCGAAAATGGATAGTTTCCTAAAATTGAAGTTTCCTAAAATAGAAAGTTTTCTATTTTAGAAATCGGTTTCCAAATTTGGAAGTTAGTTCCAAATTTAGCAAGTAAATA